AAGAATCTGGACGCTCAATAGGCGAAAGCCTCTACCGTCCTGTGCAACCTGACCTGACCTGACCTCCGTCCCACTCGCCGGTGCTTATCTCTTAGACAAAGACCAGTGTTTACGTCACCCACATACACATGCATACACGCGGGCGCTCGCCCGCTTGCACATGCACACACACCACGACGCATTCCTATTGGTTGACCTGTTAGTCATTGTCCTATTGTAGATTGTCATGTGACGCATGATTAATTCAGTAAAGCTGGGTGCTCTGGGCTATACGTGTTCTGTTCCTTCACCTCCGGGCTAATTACGGGTGAGCTTGATTGCGAATGTAACACAGCCACACATCCAAATCCTCCATCCGTCCTGTCCCGTCTGTTGGTTATGTAGCTCCTGATCTATGTAGCCACATTATTAGGGCTCCTTCAAGTTTGATGATGGCGGCTAATGCACACCCTATTACTCTGGTGGCCAATTCCCCCATTTTCCTTAGATTCTGCAAGCATTTCTGTAGCAAATCTGAGGTTCAAATGCTTGCAGTTCATGAACCACTACGGGTGGTTTTTCAATTTTGCCCTCGGACTCTACGTCCTAGGGATTGACTGATCTTTTGACCCTGGTGTTGTAACTACAATAGTATCTTCGAAGTTCCACGAGGCACCTTTGGTTGAATACTTGACACCCTTGCAGGTGAGGCCAAAGTCTAGCCTGTTGCCCTCTGATCTTGACACTGGCTGCTGGTCTGTATTACGGATCTATTTTGGACTACCCAACACGGTAGTCCATTTCCTGTGTTTTTGAGTGCCAACTGCGTCTTTATTCACGAGTTGATCGCAGTTCCCCTTTTTTGTGGCCCGTTTCCTCGGCCAATATTTCCGCCGGAGATGCTGCGTGATTCAGCTCCTTTCGCGCCGTTACTGCTGGATTTAGGGGCATTCGGAGCCTTTTGTTTGTGTCTTACTTATTTTTGGCTTTGATGCACCTGGCGGTACCTTTGGAGTAGACCTACCGAGCGGGACCATCGCCTGCTCCTTCAAGGGTCGATATTCCTTTATTTTCTCAACCTTTAATATTTTTACCTCAAGTCATTTCTCCTCCATTCTAACACTTATTGAAGCGGACGTTCAATGTCATACGTGACCCTAAGTGCGGCGGGCCATCTGGCGCAACGCTGATTTGGTCATCGGTTTGTATTTTGATTGTACCCGCTCTAGATAACAGTTGATCCCTCCAATACACGGTAGGGAACATAATCACTATTGGCCTCGGCGGCCCTTGTTGAGCAGTTCGCCAAAGACCCACGTGATGAAACTTGACGATAGGGACTGTCGCGGGCAATGCGACCATCCCCCTCTTGCCTGAGTTTACGGTTGCTGGCGACTGGCTCGAGGCATTTGTGCAGCAGCAGGCGTCTGCTATCTAGTCCCCGGAGTTCGACACTCTTGATCTCTTCCTCCAGTTGCCGGACTCTTTCCTTCAGTGCTGCCAGCTCTACTGTAAACATATCGTCAACTGCTTTCCCGTTCGGTTTGTTTGTTACTTTAGTTGCGCTGGCTTCATTGGTGCGATTTTCATCCTTTCCCACACTCTTGCTCGCATCGTTGGTCACAGCGTCGTTAGTTTGGAGTCCTTTTGTGGGGGAGTTCCTTCTTGTGTCTAGTCCATCCATTCAAGAACAGCTCAGACGAACCCGGATGATTCGTGAGCGTTCATCTGCAAGGGTAGAGAAATGCCGACAGATCCGTCTGAGGGACTTTTGTACAATATGCAGTTGAGCATCTTTTTTGCTCAGTCCATAGCAAGCTTGATGATACCAGCAGCGACATCTGTCACAGAGTATACCTTCAACCATGGACTCAGCACATGAGTTGGCCACACATAACGCTGTTCTATCATGGCGTGTCATTTTTCTCGCCGATGATAATTTTTATGAGCAAAACGTACCACATCAGACTAGTCCAAAGCAAGTAGAAATGCCAATCTAGGAACTATTATGATCTGATGGTATGCCAACAAGTAAAAATGGGAGTAAAAAAGGAGTAAACTATTAGAACGAGCAACGATACAGTAATATGATACTACTTAAAATCTAACGCGACACTATCAATAGAAAAATACTCTGAAAATTCTTATAGGAACTTAATTAATTCCTGGAAATCCACAGAAATATACCCACGACAAAATTTAACCGCAGTGCGTTAAGGTCAAGGTCAGTTCAGTTCAGTTTGCACAGGACGAATGTGGCTCTAGCCAATCAAGCGTCCAGTTCTCTGTGTTGTCGGTGGATGGGATTCACTTCCAATATAGCGTAAAGTTGATTTGGTATTGGTGATCCTCTCAATTTAGCCCCGTTTCCAGAACGTTTACTCCGTGGGGTATGCTGAAAGGGAGGAAAACAAGTATGGATATCTACTCACCTCTTTGATTGGAGACCTCAAGTACACATGCGTTGGTTTACACAGATCACATGTGTCAGGACAGTCAGTTTGAGAAAACTCCAACATAAAACCGAGTTTACACAACTTAACAAAGTGTCGGCTAGTGTAGAGTTTATTCTTAGTGTTTTAAATCTCCATACTAAGTTCGAGGAACGTTGCTGACCAACATGCATCCAGGGCCCCTTGAAGGCGGTAACATTGGCGCAGTTGACCACTTCTGCGGGGAATGTGTTCCACATAGGTATGACTCTGTGTGCGATGACGTTGGCCGTACTTGCAACCTGGAGTAGTCAGGTCAGGTCAGGTTGCACAGAACTGGTAGTGGCCACAGGACAGCCAAGCGTCCAGAATTCCTTCGGTGGTGTGCTCAAGAGTGTGCGTCTACCTCTGAGGTTGATCGGTTTCTCTTTCTATCTGCAAACGGAGAGAAAGAGAGACTTCTCGCCGTTTTGGCGAGAGACTTTTATTGTGAAAGCGTTCCATATACCAATGAAACAATATAGCACCTAATATTCTATGTCAGGGAAAACCTCCAACTATCTGGCGTTCAGTGCTATTTCAAAGGCTTGGCCTTTTGGCTGCTTTATCAGTTCAGACGGTAGCTTATTCCAGTTATCCACTACCCTACTGCTACAGAAATGTGCTCGCAGGTTCAGCCTAGAACGCTGTTTCATAAGTTTCAGCTCATTATCACGTGTTCCTTGGTGGGAAGTCTCAGTGGAGAGGGACCCTGGATGTAAACCCAGCAAATTGTTCTTAATCTTAAATACCTCAATGAGGTGTCCGCGCAACTTCTTTTCTATTAAAAAAGACCGACCGCACACAACCTCTCTTTGTGTGTTTTTCCCAGCATACCCTCAGACATCCGCGTTTTTTGTCTCAGGACCTTTTCCAGACACGCTGCGTCCTTTTTTCTGAAGGGCGACCAAACCCGAACACAGTATTCTAGGTGAGGCCTTACGATGGCTTTGTAGATGAGTATCAATACTTCTGTTTTCCTACAGGAAACTGCTGACCTTAGTCAAAACAGCTGTCGTCTAGACGTGCGCTGCAGCTTCACATTGGGTACTCCAACTGTAATCTGCAGTTACGATGACTCCTAGCTCCCTAGCACTGGTTACAGTGTCTACTTTGAATTCCCCCCAGTCACCGAGAGCCTTTAATGGTTCCCTAGTTCTGGAGAGCACCTGACTCCTTGTTGCATTTCGTGGCAGATCCCATGTGTGAGACTACTTGACCACCTTTGCAATATCCTCTTCTGAGCCTGATCTGCCACTGGATCCAACCACTTTTACATTATCAGCGAAGATGAAGCAAGATGAGCTGGTAATTTCTGCTAGACCATTTATCAACAACAGAAATAGAAGCAGGCCTAACACCGACCCTTGTGGCACGCCACTAGTGACTTGAAGTACTTGGGAAGTTTGTTTTCCTACCCTAACCTAGAATGTCCTATTGGTCAAGAATGCTGCCATCCATTTAAATACTGTTCCTGTGATTCCGAAAGAACTTAGCTTATGTAGAAGCAGTTTCTGACTTACGGAATCGAACGCCTTACTGAAATCTAGGTAACATACCTGTACTGTTCTGCCTTCGTCTACCTCCTCAGTGACTTCGTCTAGGTAGCATAATAGGTTAGTCAGGTACGACCTGCTTTTCATAAAACCATGCTTAACCACGCTAAGTAATGCATACTCTAAAAGCTGGACACAGACATGGGTCTTGATTAGCTTTTCCAGGCACTTGCATAGAATACTAGTTAAGCTAATCGGTGTGTAGTGCTGTGGGTTAGATCTACTACCACCTTTGTGTAACGTCATCACAACGGCAGTTTTCCAGTCACCCGGAAGCACGCCTTCCTCCAGAGACTTTTGGAACAGCATGTTCAAGGGGTTTGCCAAAATTTGGGTAAGAGGATTCACAATGACAGGGTATATAATACCGGGACTCGAGGGCTTATTGGTGTCCAACTCCCCTAACACCTTTTGCACTTCCATTGCAGATATCTGCATCTCTGTCATGCTCGATGGAAGAGAAGCTGGGGGTCTCAATTGGAATGTCCGGTTGTCTAAACTATGAACACTGGTGAAATAGTCACCTGGTGCTTCTGCCTTGCTGTGGTCGTCTGCCGCCACCTTGTTGTTTTCTAGAACCAAGACGCCAATGACATCCCTCAAATTGCATTTCGATTGTAGATTCCTGAAAAACCTTTTCGGTTCCTGGTTGACTTTTTCCGCTAACTTTAGTTCATATTTCCTTTTTTCTATTCTTATAAGACCGACTGTTGTGATCCTCTGGTCGGTGTAATTTGTCCGTGCAAGCTGGGTGTTAACCTCTCTGTAGTGTATCCAGCTTCTGTTTCTTTTCCGTATTGCTCTCCTTATTGCCGGAGACCAGCATGGAGGCTTATCACAACCTTTTCCAAAGTTTAATAGAGCGAACTCGTCTTGAAGTTCCTGCAGGTTACTCTTATTTCTTTACCAGAGAGCCTCGACTGTAATCAGATCATTTTCTGCTTCCCATTCTAGAGTTAAGGCTTTTGACTGCAGGCCACTCCTGTCCATTTTGCTGAAGTTTCTAACTTTCTGGCTGGACGCTTTGATAATGATAATGGTATATTTCAAGAAGCCCGTGAAGCATGCTTGTGCGCATGATCAAATGTACAATAATATAATATTACAGTGGGGACAGTAAGTGATAGTACAGAGTTTAAGTATCCAATTTGCAAGCTGATATAGAAGATACCATAAATGTGCTGTTTTCCGTG